CAAGTCAGAATACTTGAAAAAAGTAGTTTGTAGTTTTAACTAGGTCAGATGGGTTCTCAGTATAAGGGAGTCTGTGTAATGTGGTTCAACTGGCTGTAGGGGGGCATGATTCATTGTGCATTCTACATAGTTTCCCAATATAATTTTGCATTTTTTTCTCTGCAAATCACTGTATAAATAAATTATCTAAACAAGATTTAATAATAGTCATATGATATTTTTTCTGTATTATATGAATTTCTCCATATTAAAAAATAATTCTATTAATGATGTATTTTTTAAGGATTGAATTCATCATTCATCATTATAAACACATAAAATTAATTCTATTATTTAAGACTATATAAAACAGAATAAGTAGAATTTTTTGTCAACATCTAGTATTTAGAATTCTTGAATATAGAGATGTGCTTGTGTGTATGAAACAGACGTAAACAAAGAGTACGACATATAGGGAAATCAGCTATTGTGTTTACACATGCCTGAACAGCAACATATTTTCTAAGCTAATTGGCAATTTGTGGTGCATTTCAAGGGCAGGAGTGAACATTAGGAATAAGCTGGGAAGAGACATAGATATTTCAAAATAATAAATTTATTTAAGTAAGCAGATATTTGATATTAAAATTATCCACAAGAAAAGGTATTAGTGTAATACTTAATGTGCTTTTTTTTTCTGAATAATTATTGTTGTTTCAGTGGTGCTGAACACTTACCTTGACAGCATAATCTTTTACATTTTTTAAATGGGGTTTTTGCAGGGGAAATGAGAAAAATCTTAGGGGAATATAAATGACTACCTGCCTACCTGGGAAGGAGAGGTGAATATTATCCTTATGGGTAATTTCACACAGAATTAGATAGCTGAAGAAGGAAAGAATGCCTCTGGGGATAGCCATTCATGGGGGATGACTGCATGACTATTGTTTTTGACTTTTAATCAGTTTTTGCCTAATAACTGGTTGTGTCTCAAGTGGTTGTGGACTTCATGTTGAAAATGTTAACTCTAGAAGGGGACCCAAAGTTCCTCCAGTGTAAAGCTCTGTCTACAGAAGTAGTCAATAGCTATTGCCTAGGCAGAGGAATATAAAGCAAGCACACTGTGGTTCTCCTCTTCTACATTCTTCCCATTGCCTGTCAGTCAAATATTTATGCAATTTGTAAGCCATTTGTAATTATAATCTAATGGGATCAGCATGCATGTGAAAGTTTGAAATATATAACTAAACTATACTACTGAACAATATTTTTTTTAATCAGTTACAAAAAAGTTCTGTGCTTTCAAACCCTGTGGTAAGTCAAAATAAATGTTAGGGCTGCAGGTGAATAACAAGGTGAGTTCTAGGCTCTGGGCTGAGTTAAACTGCAGCTGAACAGGATATAGGAAATGACATGAGGAGAGAGAAGAGGAGAGGAGAGGCAAGGGGAGAGGAGGGGAGGATGTAGAACCAATGACTGATGGTGTCAGAGGTGCACAGTTACAGACAGCACCATGAGAAATGTCTGCATTGCACAACTGGTAATGGAGGGGTCATGCAAGAGATAAATGAAATCTATAACTGAAAGGGTTGGGGGTACTCCTTTTTGGGATGCTTGTAGAATAAGCAGGGACCGGTTTAACCCTGTCAATAAAACCACATAATGCCAAAACTGTCTAAGTAGTAGTGTCAGACTTAACAAATTTGGGTATGGGTACAGCAAAACTAAGACCAAAGTGATAAAAATAATTGTTGGTGAGTTGTTTATTTGGGATAAAACTGACTCAGAGAAAGAGAAGTGGAAGACTGGCAAAATAAAGGGTCAAGGAAAGGGAATAATAAGTACTGCAAGTCAACTGCAGTTGCCCTGGGGTACCCACTGAGCAATTCTTTTCTTGGTCCATGCAATGGAAATCATGGCTACAAACTCAATCTATTGCTGTGACCATATGTTGAACACATTTTTCCAGTCAGGAGGACCAAAGGGAAAATGGTGCTTTCTCTGAATGGGAAAGGACCACCTGGTGTAACAAGTGTTGCTGGTCATAGCTAGCCTGATGGCAGTGTCTTCTCAATCTTTTCCTAACAATGACTCAGGCAAATTTTTTACAATACACAAGTTAACATTTGGAGGTAGGTCTCAGCTTTTTATTGATGCTATTTATGCAAACAGATGGATCTCCAGAAAATGAAAAATGTTCTGTGCAGCCAAAGCATCTCAGCAGTAATCCACCTTTGCAACCTTTACAGTTGTATTGATATTCCCTTTAGTGTTTTTGAAACTCCCACTCTTTTCAGAGATCTTATTTTTTTTTCACAGTGTGGAAAAGATCTAATGAAATAAAAGAAGTCTGAGCATCTTGAGTTGAATTCCTGTTGTTTGCCTCTCACTTAAAAATAGTCACTAGACTTGAGCTGTAGCTTTGCTAATTCACATTATTTAAGTACATTGCATAACTTCAGGAGAGCAGTGGTCAAATAGTCCCCTTAGACATGAAACTAAAGAAAAAGTGAAGATTTTTACCTAAGATGGGGAAGGTGGAGAAAGGTGATAAGAAGGGTAGTTAATTTAAGTTACAAAATGCAAACCAATGAAAATAGGAAGTTATTTTGGAGCATCATAGTAGATTAGCAATATTAGCACTGTACTAGGTTCTTGAGTAGTTTGAATGAATAAAAATCTCCTTTTGCCTTAATTCCTATCTCAATCTGTCATTCACCATGTACTTTTTGTGAAACAATTTTTGGTTGATTTATTTTTTGTTAAAAGTAATGTAATCAGTTGCTGGTGATAACATTTTTTAGAACATTTACAGATCTTCTCTTAAAAAATGTGTTGCAGAATCAAACTTATCTGTATGTAGAAAGTCATTAGCAAACTGCATACTGATTTTGGTCCGGTTTTCTTTTCACTGTTTATTTTATTTTATTTTATTTGGGGCTCTGTGGGGTTTTGTTTTTGCTTTTGCTTTGCAACTCAGTGTATCTCTACATTATAGTGTATGCTAACTGAGATGTAATTTAACTGCCAATTAATTTCCTACTTAATGTTGTAATGATACAATGAATATTTAATTGCAGGGATTCATAAAAAGATTAAAAAAAAAAAAGTTATTTTGAAAAGGTTTCTATAGCTAAAGGAAGAGCTGTTGTTTTCCAGCCTTAAAAAGCTGAAGCTGAATCTGAGACAAATTGGAGAAATCTATAGCTCACCTGAGGTTCCTTACAGGCCCACACTCAAACTGTGGCATTATCCATTTCCCATGATCTTACCTTCCTAAAAGCTATTACAGATTTTCAAAATAAAGTAAGTGAGAGATTGTACAGTTGTTACTGCAAGTTCCTAATAAAACTAGAAAGGTATTAGCTATGCGTAGGTAGGTCATTTTTCCAAGACAGACACTTTGTCTTTCCAAGAATAATATGTAACAGCAAAATAAAAATGAGATTGGCTTCTCCTGCAGTGTTGATAATAAGAAGTATCACGTTGTCTGGTGAATAACCAAACTGATATAACAACAACAACAACAACAATAAGGTCTTGGACTAGATATCTTCTATAGCAAGGTGCCAAAAGGAAGAGACATTCTGACTGAGAACTGTCAATGAGGAACTGGAGGAGGTGGCTGGAAGGAGATCAGGTAAGATGGTCATCAGAAGCAAAGGATGTCATGACTTAGAGCAATACTATCCCAGAATACGATCATAATTCTTAATTTTCATATTGCATAGCATCTTTACCTGGAGAGGAAAATTTCTAGGAATATTAAATCAGTTGAGGGGTAGGAAATCAAAGAAATCTACATCCTCCACCCATAACTTTTCAGGCCTTACTGATTGCCTGTTCAAAGGTTTGTAATGGTGGTAATGCTTACCAAGATCAAAGAAGGACAGTGTTTTTGATCTCAGAACTGTAAAATGCTCATCATCATCACTTAATGTAGTGCCTGTCTGTGTCTCAGTCTGGTTGCAACCTAACTCCAGAGATGCTTTGTGATCACAGTTTGCTTCCTGGACGAAAGAATGTATATCACAGAAAGACTTGTCCCCTAGCACAGTACATTCAAAACGAAATTCAGACTGAAGTCAATCTATTAATTACAGCAAAATTAGAACATTACAGAAGGAAGATATTAATGAGGTAAAGACCTCCTGAGGTGACTATGAAATTACATTTTGTAACCAATAGTGGTAATAGATTAAAAAGGAAAAGTAATGCCTGGGTCATTTTGGCACAACATGAATAAATAGATATTTGCACGTTACAGTCCTTATTAACATTCTGATATGATCTGGCAACAAATAAAAAAATGAAAAAATCTACAATGAAAGAGTAAAACCATTGCAACTGCTGTAGGTAATGCAGGACATAATGATACAGACTTGAAAACAGAGCACTTTTGAAGTAAAGGGGAGAGTTATTACCCTGCAGAGATGTCATTCTCTTTTGCTACTCTTCACCTACCACCTTTACAAAGGTATCATGAGCAGAAAGATGATATCTAAACTTTGTTCACAATGACATTAAGTTTGATTTTTTAGTTACTAGAACACATGTGAGGAAAGGAACAGGTCACACACAGCTTATAAGTTGTTCTGCTTAATGCAAGATCAGGGGTCTAATTATTTTAGTATTATCTTCCATTATTCAGGCATGGCTAAGTCTCTGAACCCGGTATATAGATATTGCTAAGGGATAATACAAGGCAATTATGGCTATAGCTTTCTGTCTCATAAACACAGCACAAGATCATATTCAAGAGATGTTAATTATACAGAATTAAAGCCCATAATCACAGCAGCAGGACTATCTGGAGCATATGCTTTCAGACTCACAGGACCTTGTATAACCCTACATACTCTATGTGGCAACTAGGAAGCACTTTAAGACAGGAATCTGGGAGTAATCCAACCTCTATGACTGCACAGGCCTTCAAACCTCATGGGAAGAGAGCTGAAGCTGATGCCCATTGTGTTAACAACATGCTGTGGTAATACCTGTCCCATGAGACACTTTCTCACCCTTGACCACAAGAAGTTTCAGCAGGGGCTGTGACTTTCATCTGTATTTCAAGGTACCTTCTTGTCCTGGAAAAAAAAAATTATGGAAAAGGATTTATGTATGGTTTACACTTGAATGAAAGACATGGTTAAATAGACCTTCTGCACATGTCAGAGCTATTCTGCAAAGTTCCTCAGCTAGTATTTTCCTTGTTGCCTGATAACCCCAGTATTTGTGCAAGCTTTCTTCTATACCGGTTCCAACGACCCTTCTCACTGAGCATTAAATTGTGGTATTGGTCATGATACTGTTCCATGTTTTTCATACGTATTATGGTGAAACCTCTGTCTCAGCATAGCCAGTGAACTGGCAGGCTAAATGAGAGCTTAATGACTTGTTCCTCATCAGGGATGCTGAGAAGCTGAACTGTCTGTGGAAGCCAGAATTGTTTTTGGGCTCACATGGCATTGCCCAGTGGGTGCTGGAAAAAGTCCTTCTGTTACAACTTTAGCTAAATTTCAAATAGCACAACAAAGAAGTATTAAAGGAACTTCTTCACCCATACAATGCTGCTTCCCAACTTGGAAATATCCATGAAAGGAAAAGGATAATTGTCAGCTCCAGAGAACTCTTGTTTTCCAACCCCTAGCCATTTTTTCCCAGGTTCAGATTATTTTCCTTTAAAAAAAAAAAGCAAATCATACCTGAATGGTATATAAAATGTGTATAAAACCTAAAAAGCTGTAGATAAATCAGAAACTAAAAAGATGTTGATTCCCAGCTGTTACTGTGACCAGCCATTGAATGGATTTTATTCTGTCTTTTGTCTTTTAAATTACAAAATTAAAATTTTCTTTTCTCTTGTAAATTGTCTGGACAGTGCAAAAGCTATTTTGCTTATTTTATTTAAAAATGGAGCTTTTTGGATTTTTGATGATTCAGTTTGTTAATGGTAGGTATAGGATCTAAATAAATTTCTCTAAGAGAAATGAAATTAGGTAGTTAGTATTTTATTGTACTTGGAATATTTACAGCTGTGCATGTTTGTATTTACAAAAATCACTTTTACTTGCCATTTTATTTTTGGGACACAAGAATCAGTTAATATTCAAAGTTATTTGTTGGATATGATGGGGCAAAGCTTGTAAAGAATATCTGCTTTATTTTTTAGACACAAAATAACGTGAGCAATAAATCCTGTCTTTTATTATCATATAATTTAAGTGCTTCTGACACAGATGTTTGTATTTATAATTGAAAATTTAATTTGTCTTCAGATTTCCCAAGAGAATGTACACAGTGCTCAGACACTTGGAAAAAGAGAAATTATGTTTTAAAGTGATTATAAAAGAGAAGCACAAGCAATTAAAATATCCAAAACTTTGTTAAATTGTTTATGATTCTCTTAGACCTCTAATTGATTTCAGGCTCTCATTTAATGGTGCAACTTACTTATTAAGCAAAGGATTCCTTCTTTCATGTTGAATAAAGATTCTAAAATGATATAGCAAATATAATTTGACTACAATAGATTCAATTTCTCATATTGTGCTTTTACTTTATTTAATATCTTAATCCTGTTAGAGATTTCTAATCAATGATGTTTTCTTTTGTATAACATAAGCTTCTTTCACTTCATGATGAGGCCAGTAACATCAATATTAAGCCATTCTGAACTGAAAGCTACTCTGTCTAGCTCTCATTGATATTCTTTACATAAAGATCTGGTCTTTTGTTCTTAATTTGGACCATAACATAGAAGAAGTGTGGCCAGTATGTCGAGGAAGGTGATTCTGCTTTCATGAGACCCCACCTGGAGTACTACAAAGAACTCTGGGGTTCCCAGCATAGGACAGATGTGGGCCTGTTAGAGCAAGTCCAGAAGAAGCCCACAAAAATTATTAGGGAGATGGAACATCTCTTCTCTGAAGAAAGGCTGAGTTGGAGTTGTTCAGCCTGGAGAAGAAAAGGCCCTGTGGAGACCACGCTGCAGACTTTCAATACATATAGGGGACTTAAATGGAAAACTTTTTACCAGGGGCAAAGGTTTTAAATTAAAAGAGGGTAGGTTTTTATCAGGTATAAGGAAGACTTTTTTTATAAGGATGATGAGACACTGAATCAAGTTGCCTAGAGAAATGGAGGATGCCCTGCCCCTTGAAGTGTTCAAGGCCAGGTTGGATGGGACTTTGAGCAACCTGGTTTAGTGAAAGCTATTCCACATCATGGAACGGCTCTTGGACTAGATGACCTTTGAAGGTCCTTTCTAACCCAAACCACTCTATGATTCCATGATACAGTTCATTATTTTCTCTTACTCACAAAAGCTACAAGATGGGAAGGTAAACTCTTAAAAATTCTGTCAGAAGTTTTCAATTAAAGACAAAGGAAGAGTTTAGTTATGTTCATAACTTTCCAAATTTTCTCCAACTCTTGGACTAGAAATAATAATATCTTTAGCTCTATTTGGCCTCCACATAGACCATTAATGTACCTATATAATTCTTAGAGAAGAATTCTTCTTAGAGAAGAAAATGAAAGGTGTTCTTTTGTTGCTTTGTTGTTCTTGGTTTTCATAATTCACAATGATTTTACAATTTAAGGAATTATAAACTCCAGTTCTCTTTAGGTATTATTCACTCAACTTGTTTCACTTTTTTTCCACTTCATGTGTTTCTAAAGTAGTTGTTAACAAAACATGGACACAGCTCTGCTGAAATGTAAGCAGCGTTCACCACTTAGAATTGAAGATCTACTTAATTTACTATACAGAAAAGGATATTTTCCATTTTAGTCTGATGATATTCTCAAACTTTTCTTCTGAAGGAAGGATTAGTTAGTAAGATTTTGATTGAATTTCAGTCTGAACCCCATTACCACAGTGTCTCTTGCCAGTTATAGGCCATAGACAGAAGATAAGAGAAATGGTCTTGTGTAATTAACTCTGAAGTTAATCAATAGTTTTGAAGATTAATATCAAGATCATTAAGTAGCACCAAAATCAAGAAAATCATAAGGAAATGAGTAAAGCATTGCTGTGAAATGTTCCCATAAGCTGTTTCTGTTTAATTACAGGTTATTACATGGAATAAACCAAACACAGACTACTTGCATTGTTTTTACAAATTATAAACTAAAGATATGCCACTCAATTTAGAGTGAAACAAGTTTCAATCAGTTTGGAGGAGAGGGCTGATAAGTTTTTAACCAGTGCATCATTTCCAACCAAATCTGGTAAATTCCCTAGGATAATTCAAGAGAGTAAAGGAAATCTTTGTCAGTGTTATTATTTCTATTCTAAAGAACATCACTATCTTTTATTAAGTTGAAAATCACAGGAAGCAACATATTTGAAGAAAACACTCTCTGATTACTGATAGTCAGTCAATGTGTAATTATGAAGACTTTCATCTCAAAGATTCTTTCAATTGTTTCAAAGGTGCTTTCTTTCAAAGATTTTTAAGCTTAAGCTTTGAACAATGATGTTTTTTGAAAATTTATAGATCAGACACTGATTGAAATAAATTACTGAGTAGGGGTTCAATTTTAGTTGCCTCCAAAACATCATAATGTTCAAAATAAAAACAGTTTATATAGAGATCTCTCTCTCTCTCTCTCTCTCTCAATCTCTCTCTCTCTCTCTCTCTCTCTCCAAATATATAGATAGATAGAAAAACAGATAGATAGACGCAAGGAGGTTCCTGCAGGCCAAAAAGTTAACCTGTTTTTTCCAGGTATATCAGGCAGTCTATTAAGTGTCCCCCTAAGCTTTGTTTTGCCAATTAATTTTTTGAATTACAGGGAATATGAATTAACTATCTAGATAAGCTCATGTAGACTTGATAAAGTTATGTTCTCCTGAGAAATTTGGATGAAGACATAAGGACATTCAGGAAGATTCTGAAGATTTGAGAAGGAATTTAGCAGACAAAGTTGTGAAAAAGGTAATGTAAGAGTAATGGCATTTTTCAGTGTATAGAAAATAATTATGTCACACGCTGCTGCGAGAGCTACTAGACATTAAAACCAGAAAATATCTATAGTGCCCATGAAACTGACAACCTTTCTAATTTTCCTCTGATAAACCCATGACTGGACAGACTTATATGCCAGGGCAAGAAATTTTAAGTGACATAAATATTTCAGTATTTTTTTTTTAACAGAGTTGACTCTATCTGTGATGATGCTAACGAGTCAGACATCATTTCTTTTACTTACCTGTGATGTCTGCATTACAGGTTTCTGAGAGGAAAAGATGTCAATTTTAGTCTGATATCTCTTCAAGTAAGGTTGGACCAGAAACGGAGAACAAAACCAACCTTCTACTGGCCAAGGACACTATTTCAGCAGTCCAGGTGACTGCTAACAGTCATATAGCTCTATGGGAATAAAATAACAGTCTAATCATACATTTGACTACATGATGAATTTTTTTTTTCACAGGACATTCATCTCCAAACCAGGAGCAAGGTAGCAAATGTACCACTGATGTCAATCTCTTAAATACATTTATATCTAATTTGTATCAAGGATACATTTCTGGTTATGTCATCAGTCTATCAACTGCAGTTGTACATTTCAGTGCTTGACCTCCTTAATTAAGTTAGAATTCTTTTAAATTTGATAAAATATCTTTCAATCTAACAATTAACGTACAATTCCAACCTGGGACTAGTACTCAATACAGTTCTTGTGTGTGTGCATGGTAATGCAGAATAGTGCATTCCCTGAAATATCTGTGTGTGTATATGTGGCATATTAGTAATCAAAAATATTTTTATGGAATGGAAAGATTTTTAATAGAAAATTTCTCTTCGTTAGCAGTCCAAAAAGACAAATTTGATGCTTATATTGAGCATAGTAACTGATTAATAAATGTCAGTATCCCCAGTGTTAGAAGCTTTTAGAACCATAAACCATCTGCTGAAATTCATAATCCTTCTAAGAACCTTTCCCTATTTTGCACCATCAGAGTGTCGAATAAAAATTGTCATGAGGTAGATATGCCCTCAATGAAGCAGTGCCTTTGTTCCCCCAAAAAATTCAAAATCTGCCTGATCATTTATTTCTCCTTTTTCATGTATTT